CACACACATATCCTCTCCACATGGTACAGAGACCCACGGAGGAAACCTGGACACACACATATCCTGTCCACGTGGTACAGAGACCCACGGGGAAAACCTGGACACACACATATCCTCTCCTTATGGTACAGAGACCCGGGGAGGAAACCTGGCCACGCACATATCCTCTCCTTATGGTACAGAGACCCGTGGGGGAAACCTGGCCACACACATATCCTCTCCTCATGGTACAGAGACCCACGGGGAAACCTGGCCACACACATATCCTCTCCTCATGGTACAGAGACCCACGGAGGAAACCTGTCCACACACATATCCTCTCCACATGGTGCAGAGACTGTGGAGGAAACCTGGCCAGGCGTGTGTATGACAGAGGCTTTGAGGATGTCTCAGAACCTGGGCCTGGAGGAAGTCCAAGTGACAGGTGGTTCAAGACCCATAGCAGGCCCATAAGAGGGTGGTCAGCCAGCTAACCAGAAAGGAGAAGCCTCCATGGTGCCCTGTAGATGGGTGTGGTTAGAGAGTTAACGTCAACAGATTAAGACCACTGTAGCCTTGATTTTCTCAGTCCAGTGGGAGACAGAACTGGGAGCAAAGTTGCAGGGCAGCAATGGGGTTATATGTCATTCTTGGAAGAGTGAGGCAAGGATCTGCCTAATGGAGCGTGAGGGTCTCTGACCAGGTCCCCAGAGAGGAGGATTTGGCAGTGGCTCCTTCCACATGGGCCACTGGGGTGAGTCCATGGCTGAGCATAGAAGGCGGCCTTGAGGAGGTCAGGGGCCCAGTCTAAGTCTCAGTTCCCCTGTGGAATGGAACTCAGCTGTGGGGGATGCAGCCTCATGGGTGGAGGTGCTAGACACAGCGACTGTCTCCAACGGCACCTGCCAGCTGCACCTCCAGTCCACCTGGCCTGGCAGTAGTGGAAAGGGCTGGGAGCACAGCCTCTGTCAGCCACAGAGAGTGCCTTCCAAGCTGGCCCCAGCCGCAGTAGGAGGAAGCCAGGATGCAGAGTGAGGGGCAAATGGGAGGCAGCAGCTGGCAGCAAGACACCAGCGGCTCTGGGGCTGTGCCCAAAGGAGACACATATTCCCACAGGACCCACCTCCCTTGAGGTTCTCCCCAGGAAGGTGGGGGGATGACGTAAGCCACAGGAAAGGAGGATGGCGGAGCTGGAGTCCAAGAGTGGTGGGCAGTCTGCCCTGGGCTTTAGCCTCTTCTCTCAGACCACCCTTCCCAGCTGGTGACTCTAGTCAGGTGGAGATAGCACCTGAGGCCTGGAGGACACTGCATCATCCCCAAATCCTGAGATAGCAGTTGGGGTGGGGCAGGTCCCTGCCACCCTGTCACCCCCATGCCCTGTGCCCTTTCCAGAGGCCCTACTCCCCTGGCTTTCCACCCAGCAACCACCTGGCTGTCCCAGGGCCCAGCACCTCCAGCCAGGTCCTCCCACTGCCAAGACACTGGGCATAGAACAACCAAGAACATGGCTGAGTCCTTTAAATAGACTGTTTTGGGCCCACTTGGGGAGGGCAGTGCAACCCAGAACCAGCGGCGCTTTAAGGAAAGGCCTCTGCGCCTGTGCTCCCAACCCCCCTGCCCACTTTCCTGCCTGTGTCCCTTTGCAGCACTCAGACCTGCTGTGAGGAGGGGGAAAGAAATTGAACCCAAAGCCCTCTTTTCCCCCTGTGCCTGGACCCACTGAGCCAAGGCTGGCCAGGGTGCCTGTGCAGGACCCCCTTAATGGTAGCCAGGGAAGCAGGAGAGTGGCAGGGGGTGGACCAGGGCTGGTGCTGTCGCCTGTGCCCAGTAGGCCATCCTCATCCCCACAGGCCCAGCTCATCGCACAGTCCATCGGCCAGGCCTTCAGCGTGGCCTACCAGGAGTTCCTGCGAGCCAACGGCATTAATCCTGAGGACCTGAGCCAGAAGGAGTATAGCGACATCATTAACACCCAGGAGATGTACAACGATGACCTCATCCACTTCTCCAACTCGGAGAACTGCAAGGAGGTGAGACCTGAGGCTCCAGGGCCCTGGCGGCAGACAGCCGGTGTGTCCTGCCCCCACCTCCAAGCCAGTGATCCTGTGTAAAATGAAGTGTTTGTGATCCATGTTAATGACCTTGAAAATGTACCTTTTAGTGCTGCAATTATACTGTCAGCCAGGGGCCAGCACCCAGAGAGAGTTTTGAAAAGCTTATGACATCTGTGACACAGGGGCCTTGGATGCTCTGGCAGGGGAGGCTGGAAGCTGCCTTAGCAGGTCTTGACATCTCTCCCCTCAGGTGTCTTTGCTAAGTTCTTCTGGGGCAGAGAAGCAAATATCCTGGGGGTGGTCTATACCTGGGCTGTTGGTTCAGGGAATGCCTGATTCTGTCTGCTTGTGGATGAATGAGTGAGTGAATGATCCCAGCTTCCTGCTGAATGCATGGCCAGCAGTTTTCTGAGACAGTGATCCTTGAGATTAAATAAAATAGACTTTTCTTAAACCAGAGCAAAGCTAGGGTCAGGATATGGGTCCTCTGTGGGTTTGGGGGCGGGGAGCAGGAGCCAAGCTTGGGGGGTCTGAGGCTGGGTATGGAAGGGGATGAAGTCTGCTTTGGGAGCCAGCATGGGGTAAGGCCAGGGGGTAGGCTGCAGGTGCCTGTCAGCTCAAGCCTTTTCCTGGTGGAGCTGAGACAGGTTTGGGTGCAGGGCAGTACCACGGGGCCGGGGTCGGGCTCCTGCTTCCCCTGGCAGAAGTCCTGGACTCCCACTACAGGCCCCTCTCACACTGCCGGCTCCCCCACAGCTGCAGCTGGAGAAGCACAAGGGCGAGATCCTGGGCGTGGTGGTTGTGGAGTCGGGCTGGGGCTCCATCCTCCCCACAGTGATCCTGGCAAACATGATGAATGGTGGCCCCGCCGCGCGCTCGGGGAAGCTGAGCATTGGTGACCAGATCATGTCCGTCAATGGCACCAGCCTGGTGGGGCTGCCCCTTGCCACCTGCCAAGGCATCATCAAGGTGGGTGTGCTGGGCCCGCTGCCCCGTGGCCACCCCGCCTGCCCCACTCTGTCCACATGGTCGTTCCCATTGACCCATTAGAGACCCACCTGGGGGGGACAGTTTGAACCCAAGACTGTACCACATGGCTGAGAACAGAGGAAGACCCAAGCTGCTCTGGGGATCTCACTGAGCCCGGGCCTGGGCCACACTGGCTCTGGCAAGGGGCTGAGGACCAGTGGTTACAGCTTGGCCCATTGTGCCTGGGACTATCCCAGGTTAGCACTGAAAGTCCTACTTCCACGAAGCCCGTTCAGTCCTGGCAGACTGGGAGGGCTGGTCACCCTGTTCAGTCCTGGCAGACTGGGAGAGCTGGTCACCCTGTTCAGTCCTGGCAGACTGGGAGGGCTGGTCACCCTGCCTGAGCCAGGTGGGGATATAGATTTCCTTAAGTAAGGGGGGCCACCTGATTGTCTGACCATGAGCTTATGGCCTTGGCCCAGAATTGTGACCTGTGGTGCTGCTGACAGCTGCGCCCGGCCTATCTCAGTGCAGCCCAGACCTTGTGTCTGACTCATAGAGCCTCACTGAGCCTGTCACCCCTGCCCTGCAGGATAGTCATCATGGAGGGCATTGGGTTTTGAGGAAGGTGTTCCCATGTCCTCCCATAGGAAGTTACACAATATTCAACATGGTGACAACCCCTTCTCAAGCTCCTGAGGGTGACCCCAGTGCCAGGAGCATAGTTCTCAGTGGTAGTTGGCACCTGGCTTCTGGCCCCTAAAGTGGGTGGAGTTTTGCCCAGGGCAGAGGGTGCACCAGAGCATGGTGGGTCACAGCGCACACTGCCTTGCTAGATACCTAGCAACACTCTTGAGGGTGGGGTGATGCTTTCCCGTCTGCACAGAGGGGACAGTGAGGCTGGGAGGTGACTGCCCACCTCACTCAGGGCACACCCGCTCTGCCAGCCTGACTCATCCTCAGCAGGGCCTGTGAGGGCTCAGCCCGTGACTCCCATCCCCATGCTCTGCAGGGCCTGAAGAACCAGACACAGGTGAAGCTCAACATTGTCAGCTGTCCCCCAGTCACCACTGTCCTCATCAAGCGGCCAGACCTCAAGTACCAACTGGGCTTCAGTGTGCAGAATGGAATTGTGAGTCCATCCTCCCATCCTGGGCTGCCTCCACTGTGGGTAGGGTCTGGGTGTGGGAAGCAGTTCCTGCCGATGGGCAGCATTTGACCAGTGAGCGAGCTGCCAGCAGCCAGGCCACACGGGCAGGAGTTTGGTGGCTCCCTGGGCTGGTCCTGGGTAGAAAGGGAGGACCAGGATGTGCCCACGGATTGAGTCCCTCAAGCCCGGCCCAGGCACCCTTGTCCAGTGGTGGCTGTCCCTTGCCTTGAAGGGGAGGTCAGCAGGCTTTCCCAGCCACTGTAACCTGGACACACAGCCAGTCGTGGCCTCAGACTCACTATGTCCACTCATTTGTTCATTTACTTATTCGTTTATTTGCTTATTCATTCTGCTGTTAGGAAGACATTTATGTATCAGGCTCTGTGCCAGTTACTAAAGAGTCAGGAGGACCCCACGGAGGAGGTGATCTGGGCTTGAGTGACTGCTGGTCTGGCCAAAAATACCTGCCCGTTCCCTAGGCCACAGGTCTTCAGTCCCAAGTTCCCACCCTCTCTTTAACCTGTGTTTGGCTGGTGTGAGTTCCATTTCCTAGGTTTTTCCTTCTCAAAGGTCCCAGGGGCAGAGATGTGTTCACTAAGAAGAGTACAAAAGGTAGCAGGGAGATTATGCGATGGGTCGGAAGTGCTGCAGAGGGGAGGCAGGAGGATGTGTATGCCCAGCCACAGTGGAAAGATAATGGGAGAACATTCTAGAAAGACAACTACAAATGAGACACAATTTTCCCCATTGTCACCTGGTGAAGCAGTGTGGTCCTGGGTATCGTCACAGGGCTTGGGCTTAAGGCCCTGTTGCTGTCCCTTCTAATGCAGGGCACCTTTGCAGCTAAAGCAAATGCTCCCAGATGTCCACATGCTGAGTTTATTTCTCTGTATGCCACAGTCTAATTTGGGGGGGGGGGGGGGTGCTTTGCTGCACAAAGCCACTCTGACCCCCGGGCTCTGCCCTTAGCTGGGTTTTAGAGGCCTGAGCCAGGTGCTGTGTGTCTGGGTGGAACTGAAGGAAGGCACAGACAGCTTAGAGGACCTTGCAGAGGTTTACAGGGCCAGGACACTTAAATGGCCCTTGTCATTTCTGCCCATATCTCAGTAGCCAAACAGCTCAGTCATGCACCCCAGAAAACACAGAAGAGCTGGGGAAGGTGATCTATCTGGTGCCGGGACTAAGAGGGACAGGGGCATCTAGTCTGTATCGGCCACACCTTCCTGGCTGTGTGACCTTGGGCAAGTCACTTAACCTTACTGGGTTCCCCCTCACCACACAAGTGCCCAGACAAGGTGCCTGTAGCCCACTGGAATTTTTTTCCTGGCTAGTGCACCTGCCCCAGGAGCTGGCAAATAACTGTTCTGGCCTGGTCCTGCCCTGCTGGGCTGCTCTGCACACAATGACGTGGGTACAGGTGGCCACCTCCACTTTTAGGGGCTATGTAGGAAATCTGCTGGGGCCTGTGTCTGCAGCTACCATGAGTGCCATGTGGATGGACTGGCAGGGCCTTCTGAGATACCCCCAACAGTGACCTGTCACCAGGACCTGCCTGTGTGCCTTCTACGCTGGCCCTGGGTCAGTAGTCAAAGACAATGATGGACTCAGTGACCCTGCAGCTCTGCAAGGAGGCCTGGATCCCAGCGTCTGGGGCTTTGTGTGAGTGTCCCCAGTGCTCTCTCTCCTCTGCTGAGCAGCCTTGTGGCCATACAGCCTTTCTCCCCTACATGGCAGTGGGGGAACTGGCTGTCTTGTTCCTGGATCCCCATCAGCTTAGGGGACATATGAGCCTGGGTCTTGGCCTTTACAGGGAAGTGTTGTTCACTGGGGCCTCCAGCACACTGTGGGACCTGCAGGAGGGGCTGGCATTCCCTGCCATGCAATGGCCCAAGGGACTGGGGCCTGTGAGCACAGCCCTGCCCAGGGTAGCCCTCATGCCCCATCTGTCCCCTGCCCCACACTACAAGCCCAGGAGGAACGTGGAGCTATTGAGGAAGCTGGGGTGCAGAGAGTTTTAGTGACCTGCTCTGGATCACACAGCAGTAGGCCGTGCAGAGGACTGATAGGAAACGGGGTGGAAGACACGAGGAAGGGAGGGGCTCTGGCTTTCGTTCTGTGAGGGCTAAATGAAAGGGAGTGGGAAGGAAGGAGATGCCAGCCCAGAGAAGCCATGGAAAGCCCAGGTGCAGGGCCGAGCCTGCTCTCCCAGAGACCAGGGGAATGTCTAGGGGTGGGACACAGGGACACGGAGAGGGCAGTGAAGAGGATGCTGTCCCTTCTGGGGGGTGGTGCAGGAGGCTGAGGCAGCAGGGTGGGCAGGGGACTTCTCAGAAGGTTGGGGTGGATTCAGGGTAGCAGCAGATTCAGGCTCCGTGGGGCCTGGGGCTGGGGCACAGTGAGTGTACAGTTCTGAAGGCAGATGCGGAAGAGTCGCACACTATCTCTTTGTCTGTGCCTCTGCCCAGAGGTCTGGGCTTCAAGTTCTCGGCAATGGTAAGGGCCCAGTCAGTGTGTCAGTGAACTTGAGGGGCAGCCTAGGGGCACCATGGTGGGTGAGGAGAGTCCATGGACCCCAGCCCTGCCCACTAAGGAGCATGGTTCAGCCCCAGGATTCCTAGAGGCCCCTGTGCTCATGGCTGCAAGGGCAGGTGGCCACCGAGAGGTGGAGCACACGGTGGCTCTCAGGGGCTTTCTCTCAAGTATGTGGTGGCTCACCCCGAGTGTGCCAGGGAGTGTTTTAGACAAAGCTAATGACTCTGCGTGGTTTTGTTCTCATTATGGTCCATCTCCCTAATGACCCAGAAAACGGCATGCAGGTGGCTGTGCAAATCAGTCATAATCTCTGCCTGGCTCTGCAGCCAGGAGTAAACACTGAGGCCTTCAAGTCACTGGATGCTGACACATCCTCTGTCCCTGACCCTGTGAGTGCCAGTGCCAATGGCAGGTGTTGGGCACCAAGAGACACAGGCTGCTGCTGTGACTGCCATCCCTGCAGGGCAGCTGCCATGCTGTCCCGGGCGGTGTCCAGCCATCGGCTGGGGCAGAGGAGAGCACCATGGGCCCCACAACTCACCTGGGGCCTTCAGGAAGGGGGAGCTCAGGAGGCCATCTCAGTCCCCCATGGTGTACTCAGGTCGGGACCAGTGGCCTCGAGATCCCTGAGCCTCAGTTTTCAGCCTACCTGTCCTCAACAGAGGGGCCTAGCCTGGCCCCTGTGGGCTCTTGCTGCTCTCTGGCCCTACAGTGGTGGGGTCCTTGCCTGGAGTCACTACTCCCAGGCCCCAGGCCCAGTGAAGTTCTCTTGAGTCTCCTGCCCTTGCTTGGCTCCCAGCCTAAAGCAGAAAAGGCCACAGGGCAACCTGTAAGCTGGCAGCTGGCCAGGCAGTGACTGAAGACTCCCCTCAGCCTGACCACATGGTGACCACAGTGGTGGAGGACGCCTGGCTAGAAAATGGCATTTGTCAGCTCTTGTGCAGACCATTGGGGTTTTCTGCCCACTGTGGAAACATTTCCTGTGGCAGATGGCAGGGTTTAGTCTCAGATGAAATATGTCCCAGTACTGGGGTGGTGCATGTGAGTCTGGCTGCTAGGCTGGGGTGGGGGCTCTGCACAGTTGGCTATGTTTGTGGCTGTGTGTGGCCCATGTGTTTGGGACAACTACATCTCCGACCCCCTGGGCACTAATCTTGTCCCAGGCCACAGCTGTTTAACTCTCCTAGGATGTCGAATAGAGCCTCTATAGTTCACCACCTCCCTACACTGACCACCTCATTAAGTCACCTAATTTTCATAGACTGGACATGCACCCTATGTCCGCATCAGCACAGTAGGCCCAGTTCCTTGTGCTGGCCACCTCCCTGTGTTGACCAGCTTGTTTACAGTCCCTTGGCGGTCACCTTGATACTGGATTTTTGACACTGGATTTCCAGGCTCTTAGTTTTGACGAATCGATGAATGAATCGACGGACCACAGGATCAAGAGTAGGTTAGGTTTTATTCAACAGGTGTTACAGCTCTCACAAAGAGCCAAACCTTGCAGAGCAGGATCAGCAGTAAGATAGGTTTTATACAAGTGTCACAGCTCTTACAAAGAGCCAAACCTCCTTGCATAGCAGGATGTAAGTGTTACAGCTCTTGCTCTTCTGCTCTCTCTCCCTCAGAGGTCTGTGGTGATCTGCCCCTAGGCTTTCTACTCAGGGGTTTATATAGGGGCAGTTGTCCAATGAGCTTTCAGGGCCTGAAATCAGACCAATCAGTTGCAGGTTTTGAAAATGGACCAATCAGGGATGCACTGGAGGAATCACAAGTGTCTTCCCCCGTTTGTGTCAGGTTCCTTTGGCTACTGGAGCCTCTAGTGGGGGACAGAAGCTTTCCTCACTTGCCTATGCTCCAGCCTGCTGGTTCCTCTGCCGGCTGCTGCCGCCAAGACAGAGGTGGCAGGTCCCCCAGCTCCACTCGGCTGAGCTGGCTGGGGCGCCACTTGTCTGGTATCAACCTCACAGAGGTTCTAATATAATTGTAATACACATACTGTGAAATTTACCATCTGAATCATGTTAAAGTCACAGCCCGGTGACATAAGTACAGTCACATTGTTTTGTAGCCATCACCACCATCCATCTCCAGGACTTTTTCATCTTCCCAAACTGAAACTCTGCACCCATGAAACACTGACCCCTGAACCCCAGCCCCCTCCTCCATTCTACTTTCTGTCTGTGGGAGTCCGACTCCTCTGGGCACCCTCACAGCAGTGGCATTGCTCAGTACTAGGCCTTCAGCACAGTGTCCTCCATGCTGTAGCCCATGTCAGAATCTCCTGCCTTTGAAAGGCTGGATCATACTGTGTTGTGTGTCTAGACCACATTGTGTTTATTTCGTAGTCTGTCAGGGACGTTGCTCCTGTGACGTGAGTGTGCAGGCGTCTTTCCCAGTCTGTCTAGTTTCATCACCACAGGTGCTTCCACACCCTCCAGTCCATCCATCTGGAGTCAGTTCTAGGACCCTGGAAATGGAAGCCCCCCAAGGGCAAGCCCATCCTACAGACCTAGGGCCTATCCAGGCCAGTTAGGGAGCGGTGATGTCTTCCATAATGTCACAGGTGAGGACTTGCCCTGAGGCTCCCACGGGGACACACTCACTACCCCTCACCAGAGCTTTGCACAATGCCTGTGTATCAGGGAGTGCGTTTATAGAGATTTGAAGCATTTGTGACTAGTGCAGAGGTTGACATGTTTATATTGAGGGTCCAGGACATCAATAACCAAGCGACAGAAGTGCACAAAGGCGCTGGTGGTAGCTTTAGTTGTGTCCAGGCAGCCAGTCTGTTCCTGCTGAGCCTGCAGGGAGCACTGGCCCCACTGGCAGCCACAGTTCCCCCGAGTCTCCCCATCTGAGAAGTTTGCCCACATCTGAGCTAGTTTTGCATAAGCGCCTTTTCCATTTTCAGCTTCATTACACCCCAAGTACAAACGCATTAGTTTGCAGACAAACCCTCAATGATCCAATTACCAGTCCTCCCAGATGGGTACTGCCTCTCTCTTCCCACATTCCTTTCGTGAAGTCCTTTCTCCTGAGAAGTGTGCCCCACTCAGAATGTGCCCTGATTCTTACTGGACGTGCCTCAGCTTGGTCCCTCAGTACCTCTTAAGCCCCTCTCCTATTCCTCTGCCAGCCTGTCCCCAGATTCCTTCCAATTCAGCCATGAGGTCCAAGTCAGTCCTACCAGCAGAGCCCTTTAAAGGCACAAACCCACATTCACCTTCTGCCTCTCCTTTCCTACCTGGATCCTCTTTTTTCGAATCTCCAACACTTGGAAGCCAGCAGCCACCAGGGATCTAGTCAAAATCACACTTTCTTTTTTTAAATTTTTTTTTTTAAAGACAGACTCTTACTATGTTGCCCTCGGTAGAGGCTGTGGCATCACAGCTAACAGCAACCTCCAACCTCCCAAGTAGCTGGGACTACAGGCGCATGCCACAGCACCCAGATAAAAATCATACTTTCTAAGAAATGTCTTGTCCTTGGGCCAGGCCTTCCTGAAGCACCTTTTTCTGGATCTTCAAAGAACCCCCAATGTTTGACATAAAATGCCCATTAGTCGCCTGGGGGTGGGGGTGAATAACGGCGAGTCCTGAATGCCTGTGTGGAGCATTTGCCGGCCCGGTCAGCAGAGACTTCATTGGATACAGCAGGTGTTCCCCTTTTCTGGACATAGTAGCCAAGGAAAGGCTGCTTCTCCCTCCCTGCCCTGCCCAGCCCAGCCCAGCCCATTGGGCTTAAGTCCTGGCTTCTGGCCTGGTGACCAAGCCCAGTTTGGCAGAAGTCTAGGTGGCCATGTAACTGGAACTGTGACATTGGTCTGCACCCGTGTCTCCAGCCAAACCAGAAAGAGCATCTCATTCCAGAAAGGGAGGGACCCTGAGTACTGGGAGGGATGGACAGCAGCCATCATGCCAGGACCCCCAACATGTATGTGATCAGTTTGGAAAGGCCTGTGGAGTTTGTGACAAGGTGAAACTCAAATGACAGGCATCCTGTGGTGGGGGCCTTAAGATGGGGGACAAGAGAGACCTCCAGACTTGCTCCAGGGGCTGCTGCCTGTCCTATCCCTGGTGCTAAGGCGGAGCCATCTGGGGCAGTCAGAGCCCCATGGAGGGAGCAGCCTGGGGCCAGAAGGGGGGAAGGTGTTCCCTGCAGGGCAGCTGGAAGAGTCTCCTGTGAGGCAGAGCCTTCCACGGAATGACAGGAACCGCCATGTGTGTGTGTGAGAAGCGTGAGAAGGGGCCGGCTCGCTGGCCGGGATCCCCCCACTTGCACCTAAGTGACATTTCCATGTGTGTGAGTGAGAAGGGGATCCCCCTACTTGCACCTAAGTGACATTTCCGTGTGTGTGAGTGAGAAGGGGATCCCCCACTTGCACCTAAGTGACATTTCCACATGTGTGAGTGAGAAGGGGCCGGCTCATCAGCTGGGATCCCCCCCACTTGCACCTAAGTGACTTTTCCGTGTGTGTGTGTTTGTATGTGTGTGTGTGTGAGAGAGAGAGAGAGAGAGAGAGAGAGAGAGAGAAGGGGCCAGCTCGCTGGCTGGGATTCCCCTCCTTGCACCTAAGTGACATTTCCAGGTGTGTGAGTAAGAAGGGGCCGGCTTGCTGGCTGGGATTCCCCTCCTTGCAC